CTGGTTTTGAGACTTATTTACGTGTTTTCTCATTTTGACTGGGCCAGGGGGCTGTTAGAGCCTGCACGGTTTACCTCCTCTGACCTGGGTGAGGTGGGCCAGGGGCCGTGAACAGTGGTAGGGATGGTGACCCAAAAGCCCTTTCCTGTGGGCTGGGAGCAGCCGGAGGAATGGTGGCCGGAAAGCCCCTTCCTCTGGACCAGGGGCAGTGGGATGGCGGCTCAGAAGCCCGTCCCTCTGGGGCAGGAATGGTGGGAGGGATGGTGGCCTGGAAGCCCCTTCCTCTGGGCCAGTAGCAGCGGGACAGAAGGTGGCCCAAAAGCCCTTTCCTCTGGGCTGGGAGCAGCGGGAGGGATGGTGACCAGGAAGTCTCTTCCTCTGGACCAGGAGCAGTGGGACCACCGCTCAGAAGCCCCTACCTCTGGGCCTGGAACAGTGGGACTCAGTACCTTGGTCTGGTGGTCGGGTGTCCTCTGCATCTTTGTAGTGTGGAACCAGGTGGCTGCCTGTCTGCAGCAGGGTGATTTGGTGTCTTCCGCATGACTCAGGACCTCGGTAGGGCGTGCACAGACCTTCCTGTGTGCAGCGGGCTGATTCGGCATGTTCTGTGCCACTCAGGACCTCGGTAGGGCGTGCACAGACCTGCCTGTCTGCAGCGGGCTGATTCAGCGTGTTCTGTGTGACTCAGGACCTCGGTAGGGCATAGGCAGACCTGCCTGTCTGCAGCGGGCTGATTTGGCGTCTTCTGCGCAACTCAGGACCTCGGTAGGGCGTGCACCCCCTTTTTACTTTTTATTTATCTCTCTAAGATGTTAAGTTGCCCACACTGGTCTCAAACTTGCAGTCCTCTCGTCTCAGCCTCCAGAGTAGCTGGGATTACAGGCATGCCTCACTGTGCCCAACTTATTTCTGGTAGTTTTGAAGTGACTCAGGATGTACAGAGTCAGGCATCCGGGAGGTGAAATTTCAGGGAATGACTGGGTGATTATGCTATATGTATAGATGGCTTGCAGGCTGCACAGGCATCATCTGATCCGTTCTTTGGTATGAACCTAGTTACTTAGCTAGATTTGTTGCTGCCATAAGCATGGAGTTCTACTTCAGCATCCTTCTCCCCAGCCCCAGCTCCACAGAGCTGAAGTGATTTACAACAGCTCACTGGGGACAACATTGTGACCAGAACTGAGCTTCGTTTCAGTTATTCTTTCAAATGGTGCTCTAGGAACCTTAGGGATTGCTAGGGAAGGGAAAGGCAGGTTAATAGGGTGTCACTTGCCCCCCGTTTTTCTATTGGTTTTCATCATCGACTATTGACTCTCCATGGTATCCCAGGATCTGTTTCTCACGAGGTGGCCTCTGCTTGTAGAGTCTTCACATGGCTTCTCCAGCAGTACAGCCGGACTTCTCGAAGGACAGCTCAGGCCTCCTCAGAATGCAAAGCAGAAGCCAGTAGATCCTGAGGCTTAGGGCTGGGATTGGCATTGCATCACCTACTACAGCTGAAGCACATCACAGACTCACCAGATTTAAGGGGAGAAGATTTCACAGAGCTTCAATGTGAGGAGGCAGGAAAGTGGGTGACCACTGGGGATCTTTGTTAATATGCTGGAACCCATTTTAATCTTATTCCTTCCACCATCGTATGCCCCTGAAGACAGCTGAAGGAGCCAAATGAGGGTCAAAATACAGTCTCGGCTCTGTTGCTAATAAACTGGGTTACAGAACGTTCAGTACCATTTGTGTCCCTCCTAGAGCCTAGAACTTGGGTTTAGACCATGAGGCACAGACCCACTCTGGGCCAGGGTGCTAGAGCTGAGAGAACAGAGGTCTGAGAGGGATGAGCACAGGTAAGCTCTGAGTAGCCCAGGAGATAAGTAGCTCAAGGCCCCTCTTGGCCCTCCACACTAGGCACCGGGACATCTGAAAGGCCAGGGCACAGAGAGTGGGCTCTTCTTGCTCTTAGGTACCTGCTGACGGCTTGATTTGTGTGACTATGGAGTTGGACATGAGGCGGGGTGAAGAGAGCTCAACAGCATTCACTCCAGACTTCCTCTTCTGGGGGCAGGCGTCAGCTTTCCTCTCAGTGGAAACCCAGGTAAAGAAAGATGAATATTGTCCTCGTAAAAGTCAAAATAGAGTTTTCTAGCAGTACTGTATTCTGCCAAATCTAGAGTACTACTAGGAACTTCGAGGGGCTTGTTGTTTTTCTCAGACATTTGGTCACAGTGATGAAAAGTTGACTGACACAGCAATGGTGGAGGCCAAACCCAGAGTCTTGATTTCTGTGTGTTGACCTTGAATCCAGCTACTCTACTGAATTTGGTTATTGAGTCTAGAAGACTTTTGGTAGAGTTCTTGGGGTCTTCTATATAGAGTATCATGTCATCTGCAAATAATGACAAATTAACTTCTTCATTTCCTATCTTTATTCCTTTTATTTTTCAAACCCAGAGTCATGAACATGCTAGATTGCATGAGCTGCCCAGCTTTGCTGTTTTGTTTTTTTTTTTTGGTACCGGGGATCAAATTCAGGACCTTGCACTTTTGAGGCAGGCAGCGGAACCACTGAGCTAAATCCCCAGCCCTAGCTTTGCTGTTTTGTGTCCATTTGACTGGTCATGGGTTTCCCAGATACTGGGTGTTTCTAGATGAGTGTATCATTCCATGCGAATTTTAGGGCTATTTTCCTATTTCTGTGAAAAATGTCATTAGATTTTTGATAGCACTTGTATTGAATCTGTAGATCACTTTGGTTAGTACAGACATTTTAACAGTATTAAATCTTCTAGTCCATGAACACAAGTTACCTTTCAAGCAGTGGTTTAGTTTCCTAATTAAGTTTTACTTTGCTTCAAGTGAAGTTTCCATTTGCTGAGTGCGGGAAACAGTCAGTAGCCAGGTGGCCAGTTGTGTTTGGATGTGAGCACTGTTTGTCTGCCGTGTGTTCTGTGTGTTCCGTGCTGCCTGCCTTGGGTTGTGCTGGGTCCTCTGCTGGGAGGAGTTCTGTCCTCCGTACCTTCTGGACCTTGCCAAGGGAGAGACCATGTTTTCACTTCTGTTTCTTGATTTCGTGTTATCTGTGCTGTTTCAGTGACCCTTGCTCAGCCTTGTAGACTAGAGCAAGCTCTGGTGTTACCCCCCGCCGCCTCGCAGTCTCCATCTCCCTCTGACTTCATCACTTTCTTACCTGTTTCTTCAGTTAGTTGTGTATGTGTGTGTTTGTCCTGGTAAGTTCTGTCTTATCACTGTGGATATTGTCAGGGTCTTGTACTGTGCTTGGGCACACGAGAAGCATTTAAACAGGTATGGGGGAGGTAAACAGAAGGGCTGATTGTAGATTTCCATTAAAAGCATATTTATGAAAATAGGCTTATAGATTCACTTCTTGAAATTTTTATTTTATGTTCCTTTTAAATAGAAGAGACCATTCTCAAGAATAGATTACTGTATTTAGTTACTCCTGCTTTTCCTTTCTCTAGAAGTTCTTGGTGCACCATGGCTTTCAGCTGCTCCCTCCTTTGTAAGTTCTGAAGAAGTCTGCTGTCTTTGTGAGAAGTGTAATCATTTTCCCAAACCTGCTAAATCAAGAAGTAAACTCATCGCGCGAGAAGCCTGTCTGACCCAGACATAGTCCCTTCCCCACATAGAAATGAAGGGATGGTTGCTCATATTGTGTATAAGTTATAAAGGCTGTCCCCGGAGAAAGTTGGCTTCTCAATGGATAAGGACCCTTATTTCATTCTACACAGTGTAATCTCTCTCTCTCTCTCTCTCTCTCTTTCTCAGTAATGATTGCATTTAACTTCCAAATGTTATTTGCTTAATTGCTTATTTTAAATTCTTGAAAACAGAGACAGTTGATTCCTGAAACACAAAAAGTATTGAATACTTTTGAGCTCCAATAATGTCAGAATTCATGAGAATACGCTAAGGCGGCCAGCCACACCTGGTCCACTTAACTGCATCCTATGTGGGTGATTGGCTGGTGCTTGGCGAAAGAGCACGAACTCTCGTCTCTCCACCTGCAGGAGAAAGTCCTGTGGTGTGGGCACCTTGATTACTCTCTACACAGCAGCAGGAGGGTTCTGCTTGCTCTTCGTGCCGGAGGGCAGGTGTGGTGGATGAACTGATGGTCAGCCTGGAGCACCCAGCTGAACTGAGTCAGCATGGTTGGGCGTGGAAGACCCGCCTGAGGATTGTTGCCAGTGGCATAAAAGGAGAACTGGAGGGGGGAATGAGCGTTTGCTGTTGATTTTCTTGGAGGAGTTTTCCTCGCTGGTTCTCCTGATGTGAACTCGGCTGTTATCATCATAAGAGAAGCTCGGGTCCTCACTGTGACTGGGAATGGCTGCTGTTCTCTTCCGCGGAGCTCTACTCTTTGCCTTGAGCGTCGCTTCCTGGCTTCAATCCCTCAGCCTGGTGACAGAGCCTGCACCACACTGGGGCAGGTTTTCTAGCTTCTGCCACTGGCCTTTGGGCCTTCCTGGCGCAGGTCCTCCACAGGGGCTTGCAGGAGACATTGCCGTGGGCTCCAGGCCATTGGCTGGACACGTGGAGGACACTGCCTTGGGCTCTAGGCCTTCAGCTGGACTTGTGCGGGACATTGCCGTGGGTCCGTGTCGGGTCGCTAGGGCGTGGACAGATCTCTTGCACTCCTCTGCATTTGACTTTTTGGGTGAATATTGTAAAATCATCCTATAAATTGTATCTGTGCTAAATCAGTTCCCTTGCAAACCCTCACTACAGCAGGAGGTTTCTCGATGGAGTGTGTGTACCATGAGGCTGCCCTCAGTCACCATTTCTTCACCTCGCCAAGGCCTTTCCTAGAAGGGGCAAATGCTAGGCAAGATCAAGAAAGCCAATTCATATCTTTTGGCCACAGGACTTACAAGGCTAAGACACTGTACAGTGCCCAGAAGAAATTACTCTTGGGTTTTCTCCTGTGCTTCCACTCGGACGAAAAAATTGAGTAGGACTTAACTATGTCTCATAGGAATCTGGTGAATTTCTGCAGGATTCATTGGCTGGTTGGTTGGCTAAGCATGCCTCCTTTTCTACCCTGTGCTTGGATTCTACCTTAGTATTTAGATTCAAAATGTTTCGTTCTAAAGCACTGACCTTTTGTATCCCTCACAGGGCTGTATTTCTGTCCAAGAGACTATTTTAAAGGGAGGTAGAAATGCCTGCATTTGTTGACATTATTCATGTCATTGTTGAATCTGATGTGCCTTTTTCTTTCTTTTTTAACAGATACTAATTTTGTGTTGGGGAATGCCCAGATAGTGGACTGGCCTATCGTGTACAGCAATGATGGATTTTGCAAGCTGTCTGGGTACCACAGGGCAGAAGTGATGCAAAAAAGCAGTACCTGCAGGTATTTACGTTTGGAGTTGTTTCCGTGGACCATTTATCTTGGTGTCTTTTGGAAAGATAAAATGGCTTATTCTGTTTGGGAGCTGCCTTTGTCTCATTCAGGGTGTTTTCAGGAACTTTTATCGCAGTATCTTTTCGAGTTTGCACATGTCCCTAGTCAAATTTGCAGTCAGTAGGGTCAGGGAGGGAATGCAGAAGAACTCAGAAAAACTATCCCTACATGTGAACTCAAAAGTTTATAAAGTTTTAGATTGAATTAAATGTGAAAGTTAGAGAATAAAATGAAAAGATTTAGATGATTAATTTAAAACTGATTAACATTGTAGAGAAGAGTACTATAATGTTAGAGACGAGGGCCTTGCTAGAGCTTTTCCTCAGCTGAAAAGGGAAGAGAACCAGGATTTTCTAGGGATGTAGTTGGGTTATTTCTGTGCCTGAGTGTCTCTGTCTCTCTGAGCTCTTAGCAAATTGTGCCAAGCACAAGCACAGCCTGTGGACTTGACAAGGTTGCTAATCAAGCAGTACCTCAGCCTGGGCATTAGAGAAGTTCTTTCAAAGCATCTTCGAGGAGTCGGATGAGCACGCAGCCGGAACCTGCCAGATGTCCCTCTGCAGGCCCTGCATGGACTTGGCCCTTGTTTGTGGTTGCCCAGGGTTATTTTGCATAATTAGACCCCTTAATATATTTCAGGAAGTTTAGACACTGGCAGGGAGTTCTGGGAGGAAAGAAAGATAGAAGCATCCACATAGAGCATAGAGCACCCTTAGTACCTATCTACCTGGAGGAAAACCATATAAAATACACTACCAACCTAAATAAGGTTATTACAGTCTCGGTGTCTAAAGTACCATTTTTTCCTCCTGTCTTTTCCCCATTTTCCAGTATACTCAAGAAAATTGAAAGAAATGTAATGGATCAATTTAAAATATTTTATTTCCTAAAAGCCTTTTTTGCCTATTGTAATGTGCAGGACCCTTCTCCTTTGAGGGGAGAGATGGGTTATTACCTGAATATAGGTTGAAAAGGTTATGTACAAAGAAATTATAATAAAAGGGATACTTTGCTTTTCAAAAAAAAAAGTTTAGAAATTGTGGCTCTTAACACGATATAGTTCTTATTTTTGTTTGTGCCCTTTTCCTCTTAAGAGTCTGTGTATCTATATCTCTGTGTTTCTGTCCATACTGCACGTGTACAATCAAAGCAAGAGAACTGCCTCCTTAGTGTGACTTGAACAGCTTCCCTTCTTTCTTTTCTTTTTCTTTTCTTTCTTTCTCTTCTTTCTTTTCTTTCTTCTTGGCTATAGTCACTTTCAGGAAACCAGGTCCCTTGCTGATTTAGCCAATTTTTACACACAGTGCTGAGTAGCTTATTCGGTTACATGAGTGCGCCTCCTCTGTGGGAATAAGCACAGCTCTCTGCTCACTGTGCTCTTGGTTGCCTGGGAGCCTCTTACTTGGCCTGCAGCTTGGACGCTCGCACCTCCTGGTAGACTGGTCTCCTGGAACCCCCTGAGCCCAGTGGGCACTGGGAGCGGCGGTGGCAGTTACTGGTGTGGAGACAGCTTGGAAGGATCAGTGCGACCTTGTGAGGGAGCTGCTAGCCTATGTACTGTCTCGTCACATGTCTAGAGGTCGCTTATCTAGGAAATGGGAGAAAAAGGAGGTCGCCTCTTGTTCTTCGGCAGGAATAATTTTGTCTTGATCTATTCTTCCTTTTAAAGATATTTCAACAAGCTCAGTTTTCTGTTTTCCTGGTATATAGGTAAAGAGTATGATCCAGCAGCAGGTCCTACATGACATATGCACAAGGCCACCCATAGGCAATCATATCTCTCACTGGGCTGGGAAGGGGCATAAAATTAAAAAGTGACACAGAAGTAATAAAATGAACAGCTGGAGTTCTTTTCTTCTGCAGTGTTGGAGTTTGGAAGCCTACAGTCGGCCCAAGACTGTTCCAGAATGAAGCTAAGCACAGTGCTTAACTTGGTGGTTCAGGTTTACATTTGGAATTGCACTGGATAATCTCGGAGGTTCTTTGTAGTTCCGAAATTCTGATTCTGTTGTTCGAGTTATCAGGAAGAAGTCAGATTATATTCAGTATGCACTGCTTTAGAAGCTGGAGAGTTTCTGTGTTGGAAGCATTGCAGCTCCTTTTGCTTGACCTAGGACTGGAGGAGTGGCCTGCTGTTTCCTTGGTATTGGTGCCTGAAGGCGGGGGAGGCGGGCAGGAGGGAGCTTGCTGGACCCACAGACAGCTCTCCTCAGGGAACCGACTTTCCAGCCCCACGGAGAGAAGGCTTTTCTTATCTTGTACCTTGTTAGCGTCCCGACCCATGGCCATTCCATCTAGTTGAGGGTGTATGCTGTTTCTAACGGGATGCACCTTGATCTTCAGATGGTATTCAATGTGGGCCCAGGAAGAGGATCAGTCCTGGAAGTTGTCCTGTCTCTGCTGAGAACTGGCCTTGACAGGTAGAGCTCCAGCTATCCCGCAGTTGTCCGTCTGTCTCTTTTTAACATACTGTTTATTTCCTCCCTTAGATTATTTTTTTCCCAAACTTGAGCAGCAGAGAGATGTATTATTAAGAACACATAGGATTTTATTCTCTAAAAGTTTTTTCTTTTTAAAAATTTGAGTTTATTACCACATGTGTGCGGTGCATAATGTTCATACTCCTCGTGTAGAGTTGGAACGCACATAACGCATCTGCATGCTTTTTCATCCCTTCCCCCGTCTGCTCTCAATTTCTTTTTAGACTCAATTCTGTTTCTCTCTTTTTGAGAAGAGGGTAGATAGGAAAAATTGCTGCACAGACAGTGGCTGAACCTTCTTTTCCTTTCCTTAGCTATCTATTAATGTTTAGAGCTTCAGATTGCACCTTTTTCTTGTTTGGTTGGTGAATTTTTAATTCCTTTCTCTCATTCATTTTTTTAGGAATTAGGAAAAAAAAATCTGTGTTCCAAATTGACTCAGCCATTTTTACTGGAAATCTCAGAGTTGTATCCCTAAAATAAAATCTGATTATGTTTCTTCTTTGCTTAAAACCCTCCCATGCCATCCAGCTACTTTCAGAATAAAGTTTAAATTACGTTGTGTGGCTTGTAATGCTAGAGCCCCTCCATCATCTGGCCTCTGTATCACCGGTGTCTGAATCCCAGGCATTGCACTGAGCTACATTCAGGTTCTGGAATTGACCTCTTATCTTAGTGCCTTTGCACATGTCCACCTTTTGTTTAGAAAGTTCTCATTCCTCCTTCTCTGGGTTCGTTCTCCCTCTCCCCGCTGTTTAGACTTCCTTTGCCCTTCCTTCCGGGGAGCCTTCCCTGACCAACCAGAGGCTGTGTGTCTGCTCTGTCTGACCCCACCGTGGTTCTGCTCATGCTGCACTGGACTGACTGCTTTCTAGTGCGCATCTCTCGGACTGTTAGGTGGGGGTGATGTTGGTGTCTTATTTACAGTTACATTAGCCCATCTTCTAGAATCCAATAAGTATTTGCATTTTGTGAGTATGTGTGTGTGTGCCACACTGCTGTGTATAGAACAGATATTTGATAACATGTGTTTATAGAATAATGAATGCTGGCTAATCTCACCTGAGCTCTTTGGTTGATTTGCAGTTTTATGTATGGGGAGCTGACTGATAAAGACACAGTTGAAAAGGTGCGGCAAACTTTTGAGAACTATGAGATGAATTCCTTTGAAATTCTGATGTACAAGAAGAACAGTGAGTATTTAGTCCATTCTGAACCATACCTTTACGAGTTTGGAATAGCATCTCTCTCCACCTCCGTTGCTGTCTAGGTTTTTATTCTCGCCCATAATCTAGGTATAGTTACTTGAAGCCACTGTGTCCATTGGGATGAATATGTGATTGACCAGTTACATTCTTCCTCACAGGAACACTTGATCAGGTGCTTGTTACCGACTAAGACTTCATCTGTTTTACTGCCTAGAGTTAGGGTTTTTTCTGTTGGTTTACTTAGGGTGAATCTTGTGTCTTAAAGGGGGGAGGGCAGAAATGCCGTGCAATTCCTCTTTGTATTTCTCTTCCACAGCACCTGTACAGTAACTCCAGTAGGTGCCCATGTAAGAGTTTCTGAATAGTCTGACAGCCCAGGAGATAGTGTTAACAGCAGTGCAACATCAATTTGGATTTTTTGGTTACACTTCCACAAAGTGTGCTAATGATGTTTTTAGGTCAATTGCTGGACATCAGTGTAGAACCAGCTTTTCTTTTAGGAGGTTCACTGCCAGATATAGATCAGACATCCCAGTAAGGAGCTCTAGCTATAGCAGCACCGCAGAGGTGTTGAACAGTGCTTTGTTTTGGTTTTAAAAAAACACTATTGTGTTCATAAAGAATCCTGCTCTTTATGTGGATGACTGAGGGGAGGCTGTAGAACTTTTCCAGGGTGGCCTGGGAGGCACAGAGGGAAGCAGTGTTTATTGGTGGCATTTGGGTCTGAGTGGTGATTTGCTCTGGAAAGCAAAGGGCACATCTTTTCTCTAGATAGAACTGGGGCCCCGTTTTCTTTTTTAAAAATTAATTTTGTTGGTTCATTTTAGATTGCATAGTAGCTTTCATCATAGGGAATTTGTACCTGTACGTGATGCATCTCAGTTCTTTTTTCCCATTCCCCTTCCCTTCTTCAACCCCTCTGTATCCACAAAAGCTTTGTTTCCATTTTTTCCTTCTATACTTGTTTTCTTGTCCCTTCCTTCCTTTCCCCTCCCCCCTCCCTAGCTCCCCTTCCCATTTGGACATTTTCTTCCTATTTCACAATGTCTTATTACACATTTTGGTCCTTACCCTTTCAGTTTTTCACACCAGAGAAACAATGCAGTGTTTAAACACATGTGCCCGATTTATCTCAAGTGTATGGTCTCAAGGTGCATACATTTAGGGACGCTGAGGGGCTTTTCAGTGGTGTAAGCGTCAGATTTCCTCTCAGATGGCTCAGCTGGAGGACGGGGATAGGCTGGAGCTTAGCTGGACCGGAGATAGACTTGGAGTCACTCTGGTAACAGGTGATTGTGGCTTGGTCATCAAGAGAGGCCTTTTGATGTGGATGTCCAAAAGGCAGTGGGAGGAGGGGGCCAGAGGGACTTTCCAGAGACTGGCTTTTGCCTCAGTTCGTCCAACCCCAGGCCCCAGGAAGTAGAGACCCAGCACTTCCTGTTGGGAACACTTCTCCCACGTGAGGTGGAATAGCTCAGTGTTTGGTTGGGAGCCAGATGTAGGGGAGCTGCCCCTGAGTGTTTGTTGAGTGGCTTTGAAAAGAACTTGATAGTTAACAAGAAACAGATGAATGAAAGGAAATTACACAAATCAGGTGAGGATCTAGAAACTGAGGCTGCTTCTACTCAGACTGGATGGAAACTGTGGTCCATGGGGGAAGAGTCTACCCCGCTGAAACTTTAGAAGGTAAAAATGTCACTATCTAAAAGGATGTTTTAACTTTGTTCCTTAATTTTAAAATTAGTGCACTTTTATTATGGAAAGTACACAAAAAGAAAAAAAATCACCCTGAAGACTCAGAAATACTAACTTTTTTGATATGTTTCCTTTGAGTTTTTGTCTGAAATTTTGAAATGTGTACACTCTTGAAAATCACACATTTAATCCTTTGTCACAAGACATCCTCATTAAATTTCTCATAAATATGATTCAGAAAGAATTTTCTTAAAGCTTCCTCTATGGCTGGGTATTTATGAGGCTCTAAGTTTTTGTTATAAAAAAATGCTGAGGTGAATGTCAAAGGTTTTTGTTGACATTATGAAACATTTCCTAGAAATTGAGAATTTCTGTGTCTCTTGAGACATTTTGCCAAAAAAACCTTCCAAGTTCACAAGCAGAAATGCATGTCTGACTCATTGTACCTCATAGCATCGAATAGTTCACCTTTTTCAAATGCTGCCCACATTTAGTTTTAACAAGTTTTTTAATGTTAACGAGACAAATATTTTTTCTGTCCACATAAAATTACCCTTTAAAATGTTCAGATTTTCCCCATGTTCTACTTAATTCTAGTGAGTTTCTTACCAGTTTTTATAAGCCCTTAATGGATTGATTTGATGTTTTTTTCTTCCATTTGCCTTCTGTAGTATTCACAAGAATGCTTTAATATTTGTAAGAACATTCTTTGGTATTTGCAAAGCTCTTCTATTGATAAGTATCAGTGTTTGCTCTACTATTTGAGGAGCTGGGAGTAATCAGCAAAAGGCTTCATGGTGTGGTATATGGAATGTTATTACATATCTTGAAGGATGGATGATTTGGAAGGTTTCTAAATGTTGGCCAGTCTGAAAACCTAGTGTTTTATGGTGCTACATATCTTGTAATATTACTCATCTTATGTGATTTTCTTACATCAATGACAGTCGTCATTAATGAACTGATTCAGTGCATGTTTACACAAGCACTTTTGTGCTAGTCAATTAGTTTTCCATTTTTCAAACAAGAAAACTGAGAAGTCTCTGTCCTGAGTAAAGCAGTACATCTTTTGAATGGCCCGCCCCAGTGTGTGAGGACACAATTTGTGGAGTGGCTGGTAACCTAGCCTGGGGAGCTCTGGGTGGGCTACCAGGAAGAAGAGCCTGGGGGTCTTGAGAGTGGTTCTGTTGAGCCCGTGCTCGTGGGAGAATTGCGGGCTAAGTACTTAGAGATCACCCACTATGGACTCAGTGCTGGGCCACCGGCGTGGGAAACCACTTCTCCCTTTGAGCAGCTTGCAGTCTTGTTGTGGAGACAAATCTGATGGGCAGCAGTCGTGTTTTGCCTATTTTCCTAATGGCTTATCTTTTAGTTATTTTGTGGTAGGAGCTACCTATGTGTAATGGATGTGGATCCTGAATCACATTCATATTGAAATATATTTTCTCTGCTTTTTTTTCTTTTAACTTCTTTTTGATTAGAGGCTTTAAAATCACACAGAATGAAAAATTCTGTCTGTTGGCAAGCTCTTCTTACTTACTCTTTCGGTTTTGTTCTTTTTGGTACCCTAAAATTTGTGTTAAAATATTTAGAACATGAAACCATTTGGAATTTATTTTTATATGCTCTGTGAAGTTGGGATTCTGACTTATTTTCCACAATGCTTAGTCAGTTGTCCCCACACTGTTTATCATATAATCTTGCTCTTGCTTTCTGATTTGAAATGCCCTTTTCTCTGTGTGCTAAATTCTCACACACCCACGGTTTGCTTCTATCTTATCATTTTCCAGGAGCCCTTTGAAGTTTATTAGCTGTGTGAATTTGATAAAGATACTTGCCCATTTGGGTTCCCCATGTTTATAATGGGGATAATGGCCCCAGGGACTGGTCCTATTGTAATTGCTCAATAAATGGCATTATTTTCACTGTTTTGGGACAGTCTAGTGACTCTTCATTACTATGGTTGGTAGACTCATCATTATCGCCTTCTTTCAAAAACTTCAGACATTTCTTGGCCATGCTTATACCTTTATTTTTTTCTGTTTGAATTGGATTTCAATTCACCAAGCTGAGAAAAACACAATGAAGCATTTGATTGAAACTGCACTAGATTTATATATTAAGTAGGGAAGTTTGACATCTTATGAAATTGCATCTCCTCATCTACAAACAACATAGCCCTCTCCTTTTATTTTGGTTGTGTTTTATGCTCTTTAATTACATTGAAGCAGAAGCACTGATTTTTCTGGCTTTCCCCAGCTATGGCTGTCTTTCTTTAGAACAGGTAGAGGTAGCGTCACAGTTTCATTACACAGTTTGAAATGTATTCTTTTTAAAAGTTATTCAAACATCCCTGTGAGATGAGATTGAGAATTTCAATTTTTTTATTAAAAAAATAACAAAATAAGAGAATAACAGTTAATGTGCTGTGTATATTACCTTCAAAGCAGCTAGTTAGTGTGTACGACATAAACTGAAAAGATTCTCACCGTAAAGAAACAGATAATAACACAGAACTTTCTTTTCAATAAACTAAGTAACTTAGACACAGAGGAGGTGAACCACTCCCAATGCCCAGGAGGAGGCTTCTGGGCCACCATACCCCCCCCCGAGCTCAGAGGAGGTG